TTTTACGGTATGCGAGCCTCTCACTGTTGTGGCCTCTCCCGTTGCGGAGCACAGGCTCCGGACATGCAGGCTCAGCGGCCATGGCTCACGGGCCCAGCCGCTCCGCGGCATGTGGGATCTTCCCGGACTGGGGCACGAACCCGTGTCCCCTGCATCGTCAGGCAAATTCTCAACCACTGCACCACCAGGGAAGCCCGAGCCTGTAGCTTTAATGTGCTTACAGTTAGCACTGGCCAACCTCACCTAGTTAGTCCCAGAGCTTCTCAACCTTATTCTGTTCATGGCACTCTTAGTGCCTCATAATTTTTTGTGTTTTAATTCATGTCTCAGTTTTTTCATGCTACCTCTAGGTCAGAAGAAATACCTAACAGTTCCACTTATAGAATAGTTAGGTCCAAGCAACTAAATATGTATAAGCATTGATGTTCTAATGGCTTATTACCTGCCTGAAAAAATGATACACACAGATTGAAAACAATAACATTTTTATTTCATTCTCAAATAACCACAATTACTAATGGATATGTGTGCCTGTTGGGCATGGTACAATTTCTTAAATCTTGGAATCAGATTGGACACTGTCACCTTTATTGCTTCTTCCACATTGATTTTTTGCTTCACAAGGACATGATATCATTGATAGAAAGGTGGCATATGAGCTGATGGGTGAATTGTGAACTAATTCAAGCTGGTAGCTCGTGTGCTATTGACAAATATTGTGTATTGCTGTATTTCCCTCGGAAGTTTGAAATATCTTTTGGTAACCCTCTGAGTTCATCGCAGTGCTCCAGAGGAGGGGTGCGCCTTGCTGTATAGTTTGGGAACCAAGGGTTTAATTCTTTATTATATCAACAAGAGGAAAGGCTTTACCGAAAGAGCTGAGATGTGTGAGCACGTGTGTGTGTGTGCGTGTGAGAGAGAGAGAAACTGTGTGTGAGAGTGACCATGTTCAGATGGCAGATAATTTTTTGTCCTGTTTGTAGCTCACAGCAGCACCCACCTCACAACATTCGTAGAGGCTTAAATCCGTATAGTTACGCCTCAATTCCTCTTGCAAAAATGGTTATCCCCAACTCGGTATCAAATTTAAAAACAACCTGCTGATACAGGTTTGTACGCATGCACCAGCAAAAATATTTCATCATATGAGATCCCTAGGGAGAGGTTACGAAGTGCACAGCACTCTTGGCTCCCAATAGGATTGTGTTTCACACTTGTGTTGTGTAAACGAGTTATACATTACTGCTACCATCTTCTCCACATTATTAAGTGAAAATGTCTTGCACGAATGTGGAACAACCTGTGGAGGAAACAAGTTCACCAAAGCGGGGCTCAAGAGAGCTAACGATTAGCCAAACCGTCAAGAACTGATTAAGCATATTAAGAGAGATGCTGGTAAGATGACATAAACTCGACTGTGCACTGCTGCCCACTTATTGCACACACCTAATTTATCACTAGTACTGACTATTAAAGAATTAGATAACTGGTGTTTTATGTGCTTTGTATTATACAAGCAAAAAACTGTATGGATTGTTACAGAGATGTTTAAGGGTATTTTAGTAGTATCTGGGGAACTTGGATAGGATTTTTGGATGAGCTGGGAGAGCAATATTTTTTTCCACCTAAAATAATACAGTCTAGGCTGCTGTTAAACAAAATATGTATTTAGTTACAGATTAGATTCTACTGACAAAATATTCCATTAACAAAATTTTCATTGAAGTTTTCAAAATATTTAAGTACTACATAAACAGAAGTTTTTACTGATATTAATATGCAAAACTTATATGTCTTTCTCAGTGTCCCTGGTCCAAATTGCTCGAGGCCCCAGATAAAGTTGAAAAATGTGTGTGTTTTCTGTCAGCAGCCTACCTCCCCTACGACGCCCACCAAGCCCGTGGTGCCCCTGGAGTGGGCCTCAGGCGTGATGCCAAAGCCAGATCCTACAGTCATCAACAAGCACATAAGGAAATTAGTTGAGGTAAGTGGTTGAGGGACAGTTAAAAGTGAGCAGTTAAAAGGAGGCCCCTTTCTCTTTCCAGAATATTCTCTGGTTGCCCAGGAATCAGATGGAGTCCATGAAAACAGCCGTCTAGCAAGTAAAAGCAATTCAGCAGACACTTAGCTCTACCTGGCACTGGCTTCTGGGGAAGAACCTCCCAGGAAGTCCCCCTTTCCCCTTCCTGTCTGTCAGTTCTCACTTGCCCAAGTACTCTCAGCTACTTAGAACCCCTCACTTCCCCAGGCATTTGACACTTCTGTCATTGTCCCTGCAACCCAAGGGACTGTTTGAGGATTAGAATCTACTCATTAAAACCCACATGGGGGGCTTCCCTGGTGGTGCAGTGGTTAAGAATCCGCCTGCCAATTCAGGGGATATGGGTTTGAGCCCCGGTCCAGGAAGGTCCCACATGCCGCTGAGCAACTAAGCCTGTGCGCCACAACTACTGAGCCTGCGTGCCACAACTACTGAAGCCCACATGTCATAACTACTGAGGCCCACGCACCTAGAGTCCATGCTCCACAACAAGAGAAGCCACCCAATGAGAAGCCCGTGCACCGCAACAAAGAGTAGCCCCCGCTCACCACAACTAGAGAAAGCCCTCAGGCAGCAACGAAGAACCAACGGAGCCAAGAATAAGTAAATAAATAAATAAGTTTATAAAAAAAAAAACCCACATGGGTCATCATAAAATGCTGGATAAATTGGTTACCTGAGGGTAGGAAAAAATACTGTAAGTTGAGTAGTTTCTCCAGCTGTATATATTTGGGGGTCTGTGACACTGCAGCGCAAGAGCATTTAGGTCAGAAACATCACTTAATGAAGGGCAAGATTGTGTCAGAGTTTTCCATATTAAAAACAAAAAAAAAGAGTAGATGCACCAATGTGGGAAAGATGGAAATATCTCAGGCACTAGAAATTGTGTTTGTTGATTAAACATCTCCCTTCATGGACTGGTACATCCTCAGATGCAATAGGAACAAGTCTTTGGGATATTATGTGCTCTTTGCTGGGAAAGATGTGTACAGAAAAAGAATGTTCTATATCTTGGATCATCTATGGAATTCTGAGGTGCTGAAAGAAAAGTTGCATGGGGCATGGGAGTCAGGAAGGGGAGATTAGAAAGGGTGAGGGAAGGGGATGAGAAAGCCATAAGGTCCAGTGGAGACCATGTGATGATGTGGTAGTGACAGACCCAACTTGGAGCCAGGGAAGGTGGGCAAAGGATCTGGGTGCATGGAGTTGCAGCTCAGGAAGGTCTAGAATCAGGAAATGAAAGAAGTATTTTTTCTCCTACTCTCTCCTTTGCTTTTCTCTGAATGCTCACTCCATTCTCTGCAGACAGACTTTCCTTGCTCCACACGAGGAGCCTCTTTCTCCCCCACCCCTTTGTACCTTACCTCTTTTCTCCAATTCTAGTTTCATGGGGGAAGGTTTGCCCAGTTGGTTAGATTGAGTACTACTGATTTAATTGAATAAATGGCTGGGTTTCATTTGAATTTCCATAATGAATTATATTCCAAAAAAAATCTTGTACTCTCAGCATATATATGGGTATTAAACTATAAATTGTAAGCACTCCAAATAGTTCATTTTTAAGCAATTTTGATTATGGATAAGCATTGATAGTGCGACTTGCAAAAAAATTCAGTTATCTATGGATAAACTTACAATGGTGCTAAACAATCATATTTTTAATTAAGTAATTTGTTCATTTATACTTTGCTTACTTCCCAAAATACTCCTGAAGCAGTTGTGCCCTAAGGCAATACAGATAATATATAATAGAAACCACAGGGGAATTGCCAACAAACACATGAAAGGATGTCCAACATCACTAATCATTAGAGAAATGCAAATCAGAACTACAATGAGGTATCACCTCACACCAGTCAGAATGGCCATCATTAAAAAATCTACACACAATAAATGCTGGAGAGGGTGTGGAGAAAAGGGAACCCTCTTGCACTGTAGGTGGGAATGTAAATTGATACAGCCACTGTGGAGAACAGTATGGAGGTTCCTTAAAAAACTACAAATAGAACTACCATATGACCAAGCAATCCCACTACTGGGCATATATCCTGAGAAAACCATAATTCAAAAAGAGTCATGTACCACGATGTTCATTGCAGCTCTATTTACAAAAGCCAGGACATGGAAGCAACCTAAGTGTCCATCGACAGATGAATGGATAAAGAAGATGTGGCACATATATACAATGGAATATTACTCAGCCATAAAAAGAAACAAAATTGAGTTATTTGTAGGGAAGTGGATGGACCTAGAGTCTACGGAGTGAAGTCAGAAAGATAAAAACAAATACCATATGCTAATACATATATATGGAATCTAAAAAAAAACGGTTCTGAAGAACCTAGGGGCAGGACAGGAATAAAGACGCAGATATAGAGGATGGACTTGAGGACACGGGGAGAGGGAAGGGTAATCTGGGACGAAGTGAGAGAGTGGCATGGACTTATATATTCTACCAAGTGTAAAATAGATAGCTAGTGGAAAGCAGCCGCATAGCACAGGGAGATCAACTCAGTGCTTTGTGTCCACCTAGAAGGGTGGGATAGGGAGGGTGGGAGGGAGATGCAAGAGGGAGAAGATTTAGGGATATATGTGTATGTGTAGCTGATTCACTTTGTTATAAAGCAGAAACTAACACACTGTTGTAAAGCAATTATATTCCAATAAAGATGTTAAAAAAAAATCACAGGGGAAAGAGAGATTGCTTCATTATAACTGGACTCTAAGTCAAATGTTTGCATACATGTGTTTGCAGGGAGAACTTACAAACTTTTTGAAAATCCAGTTTAGCAGAGGGCAATGGAAAAATCTTTTTTATTTTTCTCTGATTATAAAGAAAACCAGGGCGGTCCACTGGTTAGGACTCAGCACTTTCACTGACATGGCCCCAGGTTCAATCCCTGGTTGGGGAATTAAGATCCTGCAAGCCACGTGGTGTGGCAAAAAAATAAAAAATTAAAAAGCTGAATATTAAAACATTTCATAAAACAGAAAATAGAAAGTTTTACTTTCAGGACTTAATGTCTCTTCTGTCTAGGGTTAATCACTGATAATTTGTAGATCATCTTGTATGATTTTATTCTCCCCCCATACACACACACACACATATATACATGTATATCTTTGAGAAAGCTTGTTCAGTTATTTCCTTAGAACAATTCCTAGAAGTGGAATTGCTGTGTCAGAGTAAGCACTGATTGTCCTCCAGAAAGATTGTGGCTATTTGCTTTACCAACTTGATAAGAGAGTGCCTATTTTCTCATAACCCTAGGAAATTATCAATTGTTTTAATGTTTTCCAATTTGAGAGGTAAAAAAAGTTTCATTAGTATTTCCATAATTGCTAGCAGAATTGAATGTCTTTCCATGAATGTATTGTCCATTTGTATTTTTACTTTGGTGATCCTCTGTTTTCCTTTTGTGTCTTTACTCTCATAAGTGTTGCAAATGATTTTCTCTGTCATTTATATTTAAATTTGTTAATTGAGCTTTTTTGATTCAGATATTTTGCATTTTATTGTAATGAAATACTTTTGTTTATGACCTCTGACTTGGATGTCATCCTGAGAAAGGTCTTTCCTACTCAAAGATAATAAAACATGAAAAATATTTTTATCTATTTACCTTTGGTTTTTTATAACTTTATTTTTACATTAAAATATTTAAGGCCTCTGGAATTTAGTTTGGGGGCAATTTATTTTATAAGATCAGCCATTTAACTCAACAGCAATTATTAGATAACCCATAATTTCCCTGTGGATTTGAATAGATACTTTCAGATATTCTGAATTCTTACATGCATATGGATCTGTTTCTGGACTGTACTCTCTGCAGTAAGTTACAATACCATGTTGTTTTGACTAATGTAGCTTTGATTTCTGATAGGGCACATTGCCCCTCATTACCCATCATTGTTTTGGTTGAAATATAACTGACCTTCTAGGTGTTCTAGGTGCACAACATAGTGATTCAATATTTCTACACATTACAAAATGACCACCACAATAAGTCTAGTTACCATCTGTCACCATACAATGATATTAAAATATTACTGACTATATTACCCATGCTGTACTTTCCATCCCGTGACTCGTTTATTTTATAACTGGAAGTTTGCACCTCTTAATTTCCCTCACCTATTCATTCATCCTCCCACTCCTCTCACCTCTGGCAACCTCGTGTTTATTCTCTGTATCTATGAATCTGTTTCTGTTTTTTTTTGTTTGTTCATTTGTTTTTTAGATCCCACATACAGGTGAAATCCTATGATATTTGTCTTTCTCTGCCTGACTTATTTGACTTAGCATAATGCCCTAAGGTCTGTCTATGTTGTCAAAAAATGGCAAGATTTCATTCTTTTTTATGGCTGAGTCATATTCCATTTTATTTATATACCACATCTTTATCTATTCATCTATTGATGAACACTTAGGTTGCTTCCATATCTTGGCTATTGTAAATAACACTGGAATGAACACAGGGATGTATATATCTTTCAAATTAGTGTTTTTGCTTTCTTTGGAAAAAATACCCAGAAGTGGAATTGCTGGATTGTATGATAGCTCTGTTTTTAATTTTTTGAGGAACTTCTATACTGTTTTCCATAGTAGCAGCACCAATTTGTAATCCCAACAACAGTACATGAGGGTTCCCTTCTCTCCACACCCTCACCAACACTTGTTATTTGTTGTCTTTTTGATCATAGCCATTCTGACAGGTGTGAAGTGGTATTCTATGTGGTTTTGATTTGCATTTCCCTGAGATGAGTGATAAGTGATGTTGAACATCTTTTCATGTGTCTGTTGGACATCTGTAAGTCTTCTTTGGAAAAATGTTTATTCAGGTCCTCTACCTATTTTTTAATTGGGTTGTTTGTTTTTTTGATATTGAGTTGTATGAGTTCTTTGTATATTTTGAATATTATCCCCTTATCAGAGATATCATTTGCAAGTATCTTCTGCTATCCAGTAGGTGGCCTTTTCATTTTGTTGATAGTTTCCTTCCCTGTGCAAAAGCTTTTTAGTTTGATATAGTCCCAGTTGTTTGTTTTTGCTTTTGTTTCCCTTGCCTGAGATCATTACTCCTCATCTTAAACAAACAATTTTAGGCTATTCTCAACATGTTCACTTCTATAGGAACTTTAGAATCAATTTGTTCATTTCAAACAAATTCCCACCGGGATTTTGACTGCAATTGCTTTAAATGTATACTTTGATTTTTGAGATAATTTAACATATTAAAGTTTCATTTTCTATTGTCATGTACTGGCATTTGTGAATTCACCAAGCCTTACTCCTACTCAACCCTGAGGTCTCAGATGAGACCTTGCTTTCTCCTGGAAACATTTTAAAATCTCCCTTCCCCCTCTCCCCCAGCACTCTGTCTTTATCCTCAGCGTGGCACTTATCTCATTATTCTATAAAGGCGTCTCAGTTTTGTTATCTCCCACTAGATTCCAAGCTCCTTGATAGAAAGAATAATATGCTAGTTATCATTGCTTTCCCAGTAACAATTCAGAGGCTGATTCGTAAATAGTCATTCAATAAATATTTGCCTTTCCTTTGCAGTCTGTGTTTAGAAATTATGACCATGACCAGGACGGGTACATCTCCCAAGAGGACTTTGAAAGTATAGCTGCCAATTTTCCCTTCTTGGATTCCTTTTGTGTGCTGGACAAAGATCAGTAAGTTTAATTTTGTTTTATTGTAATGCAACTGTCCCGAAGCAGAAAATTACTACGAAAGGAGAGCAGGGAAACCTTTAATTTACATCTTGACAGAGTTGATCCTAGTGTATTGAGGAAAGGTGTCTAAGGTGTCTTTTCACTGATTTTTTTCTTGGTGTCCACAAACATGACTGGCTGGATGGAATCACAGGGCAGACCACATCATCGGTGTTAAGTACAAGTGCTCACTTACAAATTAGCCCAGCTCTCCATTTCCAATATTACTGCTGCAACTTAGCTAGTTCATCAAGCCCAAAACCTCCATCAAAAAAGAATAGAGACTAAATATAGTTAGATCTAGCATGGTGGAGTCCTCAGCATCAGTGCACCCGGGGGCAATCTTAAAAGTCATCAAGTAAGTAACATCTTTTTTTACATTACTTAATGATCTTCAGGAGAGCAGGTGATGGCTGCAGATAGCCAAGAAGCGTTTATGCTTTGTTTTTTCCTTTGCTAGTTCAGAGGTTGTCTTGAGAAACAAAGGAAAAAATATATTTCTCTTTAGCTTCAAATGATTCATGGGAGATTAAATAACTTCAGAGGCTAAAACCCGGATCATTAAAAAAATATAATGATTAAAAAAAATTTGCCAAGAAACCCTGGCATTAATAATTTTATCACTTCATTTTTAGTTATGTGAGATCAGTTCCTAGTTTAAAAATCATCTGTAAAGAAATGCTGGATTTTATATTGGTTAAATGTCCAAGTTATATCACATTAAAATTCTCTAATATTTTTGTTGGTGTGAGAATTAAACGAAAATTAAAGCCTTGGTACTTTATCATAAACGTCTTAAAACCTTAATCCATCTTCATTGTATAACAGAGAATACTTTTAAAATAAAATTAAGTTGTTAGAAACATACACTTCCTTAAAATAAAACTTAAGTTTTATTTTATAAAACTTACTACCCACTAACTACCCACTTCTTCCCTCAGTTTGTTTCTGTCAGTGACATGTTCGTAGAACATGAACTTAAAATCACTTCCCAGTCTTCATTTTGTTTCTCTGCCGGTTCTTGTTTGGAACAGATAGTGTCCCAGCAGATATATTTTTTTTCCTAAAAAAACTTTTTTCCCCTAAAAATGAAGGTTTAAAGTATTCATAGCTTACATGATTTCTTTTGTCAGACAGGCTTAGATATGTTGATTTTGAGAGAAGAATGGACCATCCAGGAGAAGATTCTAACAAGTTGTCAAATATATGGTGCCAAGATTCAGTAGAACAGTTAGGGCAAGAGATGTAGATTGTTAGGTCTTCAGCCCAGTGGTGTTAGCTGGAGTTCCAGGAGTGTGAGCACATTCTGATGGGAAAGTTTAGAGGAACGTGAGCACAGGGACCTGAGGAATGCAGCTTCAGGGACTCCTCTCCCCACGTGCAGAAACTGAAAGGAAGACGTGGATCCTGCAGAAGAGCTGGCAAAAGAGGTGCATAAGAGGCAGGAGGGAAACCAGGGCTACATGGAATCACAGGGGACCGTGGAGGAGGGAGTGTCAAAAAGGAGGAAACCTGTCCCATGTCACATGCTGCCAGGAGGTCAAGTTCAAGAAATGAGAAAAGGCCGCTGAGGATGTCACTGTGACAGTTTCAGTAGAATGGTGGGTTAGAAACCTGATTATTTGGAGGAAAGAGTAATTGAAAGAAATGGAAAAAATGTCTAACGAGTACTCTTCTTGAAAACTGCAGGAGTAAGAGAAGAAAGAGGGAAAAGACAAATGTTGGAAATGGAGGCAGGATTGAGGAAAGACATTTGTAAGGAGGGGAAGTCCTGAGTGTATTTGTAAACAGGAAAGACTGGGTGACAAGATGCAGCAGGAGGAACATGGTCCTGGAGAGGCTGGAGAGGGGGGGAGCCGAGGACCGACGAGATATAAAGGAATTCTGAACTGGCATGGAAGGGTGTGGAGAGAAGGCAATATGCAGCTCCCTTACGCCAATGGATTTGATCTTTTTTGGTAAACAAGAAGTCAGGGTGTGTGGTGGTAGATGCAACCAGAGGTTCTATGTGGAGAAGATCTGGGAGAATCACTCTAGTGAATGGTCTGTGAGCCAGTAAGACATGAATGAAAAGATTACCAATGGTGGTGGCCTGGATGACATCAGGCAGAATGAATATGAGAATGGTAGGTCCAGTTTTCACAGTTTTCTGCCTTTCTCCAGCAACCTGATTCTTGCAAACTCTATTGTGAGGCAAAGGCTAGAAAGGAGATGTCTTTCTGGAAGCTACTACTTGGTAATGAAGAAGACTTTCTGTGCTGCAGTGCACAAGCCACACACACACACACACACACACACACACGCATGCGCACACACACACACACACACATATCTTCTGCTTGCTAAGAAAGCCTTTGACACTGAAAGCTGTCCTTTGAGGTTCTCTCTTTTCAGATGTGACAGGAAAGTGAACATTCCCCACCCCCCACCCCCGGCTTTTGGCCAGAAAGGTTTGGGAGGTGAGTGATTTAAGTGTGGCAACTACTTAGCAACATGGTATTCAAAGATCCCTCTCTTCTTTGATTCTCTTCACAGGGATGGTCTAATTAGTAAGGATGAAATGATGGCTTACTTCCTGAGAGCTAAGTCCCAACTACACTGTAAAATGGGACCGGGATTTGTCCATAATTTTCAGGAGATGACCTATCTCAAGCCAACCTTCTGTGAACACTGTGCAGGATTTGTAAGTCTGTCTTCCATTGCTTTCTCTTCTATGTAGTGATTTGTGCAGTATTCTGAGAATGTGGGAAAATGATACATGAACAGAGTCCATTGTCTGCCTTAGATCCAAAGTAAAACATGATGGCTCCCTGAAATTAAACATTCAATTAAAAACAAAAGCAAGATCTGCAGATTTAGCTATGTTCTTTGTAGGAATGCAGGGCTGGAGAAGACTGGGAAGGTTGGTGAGGCATATTAACTCAGGAGAGCAGTTTGTCTGTTAATACCTGCCAGGGAAAAGTTCTGCCCAATGAGCCCTGGCATTCATCACTGAGTGCAATTAAGTGGTATATTTATTGTAGCCAGTTCCTCTCAGTTCTTGTTTCATATGGTGTCAGTCACTAGAAATCTATCATAATATGGCTCCATAATTCATAACTCAGAAAGGAAAAAAAATATTTTCGAAGAGAAGATGGTTATAATGATAAATAACATTTACTCGGCATTTGACAGTAATAAAATATTTCCTGAGGCATTAGTGTAATTAATCCTCATAACTAGCCCATGAGGTGGGCATTTTACTCTCCCATTTGCATATGAAGGTAGAGAGGTCTAGGGAGGATAACTCAAGTTTCCCAGGATTTCACAGCCAGTAATGACTAGAGCCGGGACCCAAACTCAAGTGTTCTGGCTTTACCTACACCACTGCAACAAATGAAGGTTGTACACCTCACTTCCCCACATCTGATGATTCTTTAGCAACTAAAGTCAGGTTTGGCCCTGGTGTTAAAGAAAGACCCTCAAGCTCTGAACATCTTCTAGTTGATATCCAAGTAATGTAAGATGGAAAATGTAGTACTCTACACAAGGGTAGCTCAGCAGCCAGGTGAGTGGCATTTGTCCAGATGCCAGCTCAGTTTTGTTAGCTTCATTCAGCAGTCATGTCCCCCTGTGGACCCGTATGGAATTCGTAGCTGATATCATATACGCTCCCATTAAAATACATTTTTCACTTTCAGTCTTGAATAACTGGCTTTGGGGAGCCAAAGGGCAGGCGTTTGAATTCAAGCACACACCCCGCTGAGAAAAGGTAAATTAGAGGCAGTGGTTACCTCAAAGATGGCCCCCCCGTGATCATAGCTGGGCCCCGTGATCAGGCCCAGCTGCTCCGCGGCATGTGGGATCTTCCCGGATCAGGGCACGAACCCGCATCCCCTGCATCGGCAGGCGGACTCTCAACCACTGCGCCACCAGGGAAGCCTCCCTGCTTCTTAAGTAAGCATTAGCAAGCAACGCCCTGACTTGCCCACCTCATGGGACTCATGCTTGACTTTATCTTCTTCAGCAGTTTCTGCAGCTGTGCTAATAACGTGCCATAGCCAGAGATTCGGATGTTTCTTAAACCTTATCCTTTCTTGTCCTAGATCAGCGGCTTTTGTTCTGATCACACACAAAACTCCCAGGAGCAGTAGCTTCCTCTCTTTTCCTGAAGTGACACACTCTTCACATTCTTCTTTTCCTACTTACTAGCTATGAGATCTTTTGCCAAATGACTTCACCTCTCTGTAGCTTAGTCTCCTCACCTATAAAAATGAGAAAATTATTATTACCTATCTCATAAGCATATTGTGAGCATTAAATGAATTGCTACATGGGACTTCCCTGGTGGTGCAGTGGTTAAGAATCCGCCTGCCAATGCAGGGGACATGGGTTCGATCCCTGGTCCGGGAAGATCCCACATGCCGCAGGAGCAACTAAGCCCAGGCACCACAACTACTGACCCTGTGCTCTGGAGCATGCGAGCCACACTACTGAGCCCACGTGCCACAACTAGTGAAGCCTGCACTCTAGAGCCCGTGCTCCGCAACAACAGAAGCCACCACAATGAGAAGCCTGTGCACTGCAACGAAGAGTAGTCCCCGCTCGCCACAACTAGAGAAAGCCCGCGTGCAGCAACGAGGACACAACGCAGCCAAAAATAAATAAATAAATAAATAAATTTTAAAAATGAATTGCTACACATAGCTTAAAACTGTGCCTTTCACATAGCAAGAGTTCATTAAATGTTAGCTGTCATTGTTATTTGTGTTATTACTATTACCAAGGGCTCTGTGAGGAAATGATTTCTCATCGCTACAAAGTTTCCCAGATGTGGAACCTTGCAAATTATTTAACTTCCTGCATCATCGCACTCATCTTTTATAAAAGGGAAGCAAACTGGATTATCGTAAAGATCCTTATAGCTCTGACAGATGTGATTGGCCTACCCACCCACTTACCTTTTCTGTACTGACACCTCCCCATCCCTTTTCCAGTCATCCTAGGCACCTGAGGCCTCGCTTCCAGTTAGTTGTCTTAATAATCCTTCCTGTCTCCAAGGCAAAGTGTTGCCCTGTCCCAAGAGACATTTGCATCTTAATAATGTTTTCTGAAGGGCCAAATAACTTTTAAGGCTCAAAGGAATCACTCTCCACTGATGGAATTTCCTTGTCAGAAAGAGAATAAGGAGCAACTTTCCCAAAGCCTTGAATCCCTTCACATCAGTAGCTACTCTCCTAGGGCCATGATGCCCACACTCAGGGCATTGTTCCCCTATAACACATTGTGAACAACACTCCCATCAATGCCAGTAGCCCACCAGCCCTCTTTCTTTCAAAATTATTTTATTAGGTAGATATCAGCCACTTAGCCTAACCACTCAAAGTGTAGAAATGGAGCTTCTCCAACTTGAGCTAAGCCCGTTTAGTTCATCAGGACTGTATGTTCCTGATGCCCCTGGTTCCCATATGCAAGTGCTGCAGGAGGCCTGGGAAAGAATGTGGGAAGTCCCCTTCTTCACGGAGATTACAGTGTGGCAGAGGTTTGTGAAGACACCACCACCAGGATGATGCCCCTGAACCGCCTGGGCAAACACTCCCTTGTTGAACTGTAAGCCCTCACATCTCTCCTGAGACTCTCGTCACTTCCTACATCCTACTCCTTACTTGGTTGGCAGAATCTGAGCCTTTTCTGCATCTACCACAGCCCCAGCACAGGCCAAACACGCAGCAAATGCAGAGAATAAATCCACGAACAAATGCAAAATCTTTTCCTCTTCTGTATTCTTTCAAGGTAGAAATGCTTCTCAGAAAAGAATCAAGCAAAATCCAAATGCTTTAGTGGGATGCATTGCTTGGGTCGCTTAATCTACCGTAGGGGGCGCCAAGAGCAGCTAGTGTGATTTAAAAAAAAAAAGCAGAGGGAGCCAGGGGCTATCAAAGGCAGAGTGACAGAGTCTCCCTGTGAGTTTTGCTGAGAGCGCATTATGCCAAAGTCCAATAAATGCACCAACGTCAGTTTCCCATCCCAGCTCCCATTTGGCTCCCAGAAAGAAAAGGGAAGCAAAACTCCTGTTATTGCCCCAGCTGGGGTGGGCTGGGAGAGGGTCCTTCTATCTGACAGGAAGGGTGTCAGGAGCAGCTACATCCTGTTTGTTCTCTACCAGGCATCACGCTTCCCAGGACTTCCTTCTCTGTGGCCTTGTTTTCTTTCCAGATTTCTCTCCAGATTCCCTGACATTACTTTGCCTTTTGTTACAGCTCTGGGGCATAATCAAGCAAGGATACAAATGCAAAGGTAAATGTTACTTTGTTAAAATTTTTATTTTATTTTATTTTTTAAATTAATTTGTATTGGAGTATAGTTGCTTTACAATGTTGTGTTAGTTTCTGCTGTACAGCAATGTGAATCAGTTATACACATACATATATCCCCTCGTTTTAAGATTCCCTTCCCATTTAGGTCACCACAGAGCACTGAGTAGAGTCCCCTGTGCTATACAGTAGGTTCTCATTAGTTATCTATTTTATACATAGTAGTATATATATGTCGATCCCAATCTCCTATTGTTAAAATTTTTAAATGTGACTTTTGGGACAGGAATCATATTTGTCTGAGGGAAACTTTAAAGCTCTTGGCATCACAGAGAAATTGGGGCTTTGGGGCTACTGGCAACTGAAGAGTTAATGGTCCAGTAAAGGACTCCCTGAAGTTTTGGAGATCCCAGGCTGGAATTTTATCACTTGTTACAAAGAGCAAGGAAACCACACTTATTATCCCACACACATCTAACCCCTATCTCTAAGATGTCTTGCCCGTCATCAGCACACATTTAAGGTGGGAATTCTGAGGAGGGCAAGCCTAATGGAAATACTGTATATAAGAACTTTGTCCTTCAAGGGAAAAAAAAAAAACATGCTCATTTTTGTAATACATATGCATTTCTTTCTACTCTCACACAGCTATTCCTTTCTCTACTAAATCACAGATGATGATGAGAAAAGAGGAGATACATTTGCCCCTTTCAATGAATTTGTTCATATACTTCCCCCATGTAATTGAAATTTACAGCAATTGAATAAATATATATTTGATAAATGCAATAGGAATGTTTGGCTACTTGTAGATATATGATTATTACACATTATTGGTGTTCAGAAAACTGCTGGATATTTTATGCAGACTGTTTATACTGGGTCTTTTAAGAATCTGATAATGCTCTTGAAAAATATAATAAAGCCACAAAATGAAATATCTTAATCACAGAGTGCCTTCAGATTAATAATGTTCCTTTGTGATGACTTTTTTCTCTAGCTGTCTTTCAGTATTTGGCCCTCATTTTACATGGACAGGGAACTTCCTTGAACCTCTATGAGAACCACCTTTTAGTACTCAAAAAACAAACAAACAAAAAAACCCTTCCCTTTTGTTCTCTGAATCAGCTGACTTAGTCTAACTCGAATTTTTACTTTCAAGCAGCAGAGATACTTGTTTCTGCCCCTTATCCCCTAGACACACAGAGACACATACAAACACACACACACAATTTTGTGAAGAAGAAAATCAATTAAACCCTAGGATCTCTGTTCAGATGGTATTTTCTCTTAAAGACATATAGAGTGAAAAGTCTAATTAAAATAGACCAGACATGTCATTGCAATTTGATCTTTCCCTGATGTTTTTAAAAAAACATTTGAAACAAGACCATTTAGGGGAAAACGGGTATTGGAAATAATGAGAAAATTCCTCTTTGATGGTGAGAGAAATATACCCTATAAAATGATCATATCTGTTCAGTGATTCTAAGAGAAATGTAGGACCCTCATCGTATGAAGTAATTGTGTTGCTATCTTCCAAAGTGGCCAAAATTTTGTACCCCAAGTAGCAATTAATATCTACTTTCTTAACTAAAGCATCTAATGGGAAGGCCATAGAATCTGCTGCATGCCATTTCTAAGCCATAGTCAAATCTGAGACATGTTTATTGAACATACGCTCACCTTGTCTTCTGCTTCTATGCCAAGAAAGGAAGCAAAAGATATAATCTCTTGCTCTGGAAAAGGTTTTGGGAAATGAAGAAGAATAGAAAATGCAGACAAATATTGAATGGAGCGACACCTTGCTGTAAATATTTAGAGGCAACTGTAGGTACTGGGAGAGACTAGATGCTGAGGCTTTTCACCCTCATTCTGGCTCTGGGAGCCTCTTTGTGGGGAATCCATCTTGGTCTGGAGAAGAACCCCAGTCCCATGTAATTTGCATTTAGTTTTGGGCAAAGGCAACTCCCCATTCAGGCTGCCCCTGCTTGTTGCTCCCCAGCACTTCAGTGAACTGTGTAGAAGCAGCAGCTGAACAAATACAAAAGAGAACTTTAGGAACCCCAGGAAGAGAAGAGAGTCCCACTGGCCCTTTTACTATCCCTATACCTGAGATTAAACACAGAAACAAGGGTGGGGGAGGGGAGGCGTGAGAGCCCAAACACCAACCTGGAAGCCTGGTCAGCACCTGACATGTGGTTCACACTAATCACCTGTGATACTTTTGGTTGTTTCAGACTGTGGAGCCAACTGTCATAAACAGTGCAAAGACCTCCTGGTTCTGGCCTGCCGGAGATTTGCCCGGGCGCCCTCCTTGGGCAGCGGTCATGGGTCACTGCCTGGAAGTCCCTCGTTGCCTCCAGGTAATGTCCTCGACTTTCTTTCCTACTGCGATTTCTCTCTGCTCACCTTCCATGCCTGCACTTTGGTTGGGTTCTGGATCTAAAGCTAGTCAGAGCCATTATAAACATAAAGATCTTCAGGGTAAGCAGCAGTGGCTAAAGACCCTTGAACCCTACACGCTCTTTTTGGCTTTTGTGTCTCAATAACATGCAGTTCACCTGAGGTCAATTTCATTTCGCCTTTGGTCTGTTCCTCTAGGACCTTGCCTGTAGGACTCCTGTTATTTGCACCCACTTTGACGGTTTGCTGTGAAGCAGTCAGATATATGATTAATCACAATAATCACAGTAATCTTTCCCCTTCCAGTGCAGGATGAGGTGTTCGAGTTCCCTGGCGTCGCATCTGGACACCGAGACCTGGACAGCAGAGCCATCACACTGGTCACAGGCTCCTCTCGCAAGATCTCCGTGCGGCTGCAGCGGGCCACCACCAGCCAGGCCACCCAGACCGAGCCTGTGTGGTCAGAGGCTGGCTGGGGGGACTCAGGGTCCCACACCTTCCCCAAAATGAAGTCCAAGTTCCATGACAAAGCAGCAAAGGACAAAGGCTTTGCCAAGTGGGAAAATGAGAAGCCCAGGGTGCAGGCTGGTGTGGATGTTGTTGACCGAGGCACTGCGTTCGAACCAGACCAGGATGAAGCTGACATGGTTGAGACCAGACAGGACGGTGAGGTCAGTGCTGGTCAAACCACAAATAAAATCAGAAGAGGGAGGCTGAAAGCAGCTGAGATGAGTGTTATAGTGAGTCCACAAGGCAGCCTTGTAGTGTTGAAAGCAGAATGGTTGGGAATCAAGACATACCACTTTTAGTCTTGTCTTTGGCTAGTTATGTGACTCTGGACAAATGGTCTCTTCTGCTTGGACATCAGTTTTATGATGTATAAAACTGAACCGAATGGGTTCTAAAACTCAGTGAAGGTTTCTGTGTCTGTATACTGACGTGATGTCCAGGGACCCTTGACTGTTGCTTGTATCCAATATAACAGTACGCTATACCCATCAGCTTAGTTTTCCAAGCTAGAATCAGGGTCCAAACTCAGAGGAGGCAGTGGAAGCAAAAGACATGTAGATAGAGAAGGAGAGCTGGAAACTCTTGCCCCTACTAAAAAAAAAAAAAAAAGGCTTTTGACAGCATCATGGAGGAGAGGGTAGTGAATATCAGAGACATGGGGACCTCAGGGTTCTATGTGTCAGGCTTTGCCTCCACACAAAAAGTATGTTCAAATCATCCAAAGCAAATTGGGAAACATATGGAATTTGTTAGAACAAGCTGAAAATATAAATTGATTCAAGATGGACTTAGATAAATTTATTAGTCAACAGTCCATAGTGTATTAAGAAAAAGGATTTGGGGAAATTGGTGTCACATTCCTAACCTAAAAGTAATATCATGGAGGGAAGCCATTGCCTCCCTACTGAATCATTTTCATAAACAGAATATTAGGTTAGGTAGAGACCCTACTGGATCAAGCCAGTGCTCTTTTTTCTCATGACTGGTCCTCCACATTCCACCTGTCCTCAGGAGATCTAAGCGCACAATCTCCATAGTTTCCTATGATGAGAAAATCGCCAATGACCTTTAACCAAAATTCCTCTAGTTCCTTCCTCATCGAAGACAATTAGTAAGGATGCCGCACATGATCTTCAGTAGTATGAAGTTTATTGTAAGTTCCTGCGGAGCCATTGTTTCCTTTCTTTTAACACCAACTTTTTTTTTTTTGCGGTACACGGGCCTCTCACTGTTGTGGCCTCTCCCGTTGCGGAGCACAGGCTCTGGACGCGCAGGCCCAGCGGCCATGGCTCATGGGCCCAGCCACTCCGCGGCATGTGGGATCTTCCCGGACGGGGTCACGAGCCTGTGTCCCCTGCATCGGCAGGCGGACTCTCAACCACTGCGCCACCAGGGAAGCCCTAACACCAACTTTTAAAACAGCTTTATTGAGATATAATTTATGTACTATAAAATTTACCCATTTAAAGTGTATAATTCAATGGTTTGTAGTATATTCACTGAGTTGCACAACCACCACTACAATCTAATTGCAGAACATTTACATCATGTGCTGCGTGGACTCCATGATCTTTTATTTCCCTCTATAAATCTTGAGTATACAAGGCACTGATCATTTGAGATGTTCCCTTGAAATTATCTGATAAACTGCTTTCTAGGAGTAGTCTTATTTTTTTAAATGAGATGCAGCCATACAACAGGTTCTGATTCGTATTGCAGGAAGGCTGACTTCAGGCTGAGGACACTGAAGGCAACTGTGTTGGCATTTGGAAGGAGCAAGATGAGACGCTCTGAAGAACACTCCAAAACTCAGGAAGTTATCTGAAAAGATATCTGGACATTTACTGCCTTGTGACACTGTGGGATCTCCCTAATTGAACTATGGGACAGAGGACTTACCCTATGAACTATTTATTTCCTCCTTCCCTGCTCCTAGTGAGGTGCCACAAAGACTGTGTTATGTAGTTGGTAGTTTTCTCTCCTATCTTTCTCTAGAGCCATTTATATACGGGTGAAATGAAAGCTTTTGTGCATGTACTTAATATTCATTCTCTAAACTCAGACTTTACTTTTTCTGTGAGAATGTTATTTCAGTACTTTTATAAACTTTTGAGGGGGGTGTTTAACGAGGAGTCGATTTAGGGGTCTTTTTGTGTGCTCTTTTGGACGGGACCAGGACTTATTTTTTTGAGGGACAAAGAAGCTCTTCCAGACTTGGAAGGCAGTGGTTCTTCTAATGATGATCTGCTGCAAGGAGAAGCTGTTTACATTGTTCTTACCATACAGTTGCTATTATAATGTGTAACAAGTCACACTTCTATAATCATATAAGTCTTGCCAATTCTGCATCACTAGGTAGCTATGACACAGCCATGAAAACTATCCTAATATTTATCATTGCCATGGGGGAAAATTAACTAAATACATGTCCCATCTCACTAGGTTTAGCCATCTTTCATAAGACTGCTATTAAGAAGTATGAATAACAATTTGAAAAATCAATTCAAGTTTTTGGGAATAAAATTCAGGAGAAAAACAAACCATCCCTCAAACCCCTTACTGAAATGCAATTTTTAAAATTCAACCAGCAATTTTTAAAACCTCAAAATAGTTTTAAGAATTTTGTTTGTTATAAAAGAAAACATTTTGGTTGTGAAAGAGAGCTCTCATGCTCTTCCTAAGAAATTGCCATCATGATTAAGAAGAGTCATAGAAAGCAAATCATCACAAACCACCTTTGATTAACATTTCATTTAAACTTTTAAAGTATGAATATTTTGAATATCTTCCTTTGACCCAACATTACTAGACGTGGGTCTGTTTCTTACATGATGAGAGAAGAAAGAACTTGGTTGAAGATGTTCAAAAATAGAGATGGGTTTGAGCCTATGGGTGAGGAGAATGACCTGCTACCAAGTGCTCAGTCAGAAACTGGACCCACAGAGGTGCACTGGTCTGCATTTGGTAGTTTAAGTGTATATAATCCACGTAAGACGAATTTGTTTCTTTTGGGGCAGTCGCTTCAATAAAAAAATGCCTTTCTTCTCATTTTCCATTAGGTAAATGAAGACAGTTCTGTTCAGCAAACACTTGTTGAGTACCTGCTCTGGGCAGGTCCTGTGTTAGATGCACAAAGAGGAACAACTCTTCGTCTCTGCCCTTGGGAGCTGAGAGCCCATGGGCATTTAAGGCAAGATGACTCCTTAAAATAGTTTCAGATTCGCTAGAACTGACTTAATCATGCCAAACAGATTCAGAGATCAATTTGCAGAGATGTTGCAAGTTAAATGAAGTTATTAGGTGAGGGAGTTGTGATTAAGCTCGAAAATATAAGAACTCACCATTTGCGAGCACCTCAGAAAGCAAATAGCCATCCCCAGTGTTGGTTCCATGTATATATACTCTCTATTCCTATTCATAAATGCAATGAAATACATGTTAACAAAATTAAAAAGAGAAAATGGCAATTTAAGTACAAGAAACCCTTCTTGTGTGTGTGTTTTTTGTTGTTTTTGTTAATGAATGTTAAGACTATTCTTTTTCTTCTCAAAGCAGTTATTTCACTTGCCACTTAGTTTGGGTTATTTTTTATTTTTCACATATAAGAAGAGTTTTATAGGATCAGCCTTCCTGTTACAATGATACTAAATGAACCTCGAGTAAAAACAAACCAAAAAAATAATAAAACTAACATATTATGTGTATATATGTACATAAACTATTTTTGTATATGTGTGTATATATGTGTTTATATGTATACACAGGCACGCAAACACACACACACACACACACACACACACACACACATACTACTACTATTACTTTGCTGAAGAGGCATTCGAGTCCATAATAAAGCTGCTTTATAATTTTGATTATATCATTTACTCATAACCAGTGGTGACTCTGATGTTTCCAATATGTCAATTTCCCATAATCAATAAAATAAGTAAATTAGGCAAACCCATGGTGGAGCAAAAAGAACTATGATGGTTGGTTCTTCCAGACCTTCCTTTTGTAGGTTTGATGATCACTGTCAAAGCAAAAACAAAACCAAACTCTTAACAGTGAATATTGGGAGTTCCCTGGTGCTCTAGTGGTTAGGATTCTGGGCTTTCACTGCTGTGGCCCAGGTTCAATCCATGGTCGGGGAACTGAGATCCCGCAAGCTGAACGGCACAGCCAAGAAAAAAAGTTAATATTATTAGATACCAAGAGAGGAAATGTTAGATACTGCAACTGAGTCTTCGTTGAAGGATGTGCAAATTGTATTGATGCTTTTTGAGATCTGCCTAAATCAGAGAGTGATCCTAACCGATATTTGAACCCTTTATGTTGAGTGGCTGTTTCCTGAAGCAATAATGTCCCCAGATTTCCATGGTAAACCAGCCTCTCCAAAAGACAGAGAGGTTTGCTGTTTAACAATGAAGGCAGGACTCCTACAGAAGGAAGTGCCAAACTGTTATTGATGGCAAGAAGCTTAAGCATTCCTAAGATAAACACTTTGATTTTTGTCTGAGGAGGCAAATTCAGTCAAATGAGATTCCCACAGCACACCTTTGGCATGCAATCCACAGCCAGATTTAAATCCCATCTATGCTAGTTGTAGTCATGAGATCCTGGGCAAGTCATGTACATCTATTTGAGCCTCAATTTTCACATTTGAGAAGGAGAGATTTTACCACCTTCGTCAACTACCTTATAGAGTTGTTGTAAGGATCAAGTCTAATAGTACATGTAGGAGTACTTTGTAAAGACCTTATAAATCAATATTATTTTACAGTTAAACAAGGTTCTTCTCTACAATTGTCTTCAGACTACACGTTTACATGGCTGTGTTCTTTGGAGGCTCTAAATCCAACATTTAACTAAATTTTGTGTCAAAGAATTAAAAAAAGAAATATTCACAGGGGGTTTTCTTATGCCTGGCACTGTGTGTGTATAGGGTCAGTTCTGCTCTGTTTTCTAACATTAGCTATTCTCACTCTGTTTGAAAATAGGTAGACAAGATTAAGAAACCAAATGGGTAAAATGTAAATAAGCTTAGAGAAAAATAGGTCAAAGTATAAATGTGCTTAAGAGGCTGACTCTTGGAAGAATTTATTTTACTACAGGGAGACAAGAGGAAAATAAAAATTAACTTTTCAAATAAAAAGGACTCCATTTATTTGACAACTAGAATGTATTTTATAGCTATTGAAGGTGGTAATGATAGGAAACTACTTGGAATTTAAGGCTCATTCAGGAAATATCTTCCTCCATGCTTCATCCAAAACTTGCTTGCTGAAGTTTAGAGAGTACTCAGACCTCAAACGACAATGTTTATTCTCTTTTTAAAATGTTAATGGCAAGCACGTTGGAATTCACATCTATTTAAGTGACTTGCAGTTTATACATAATAGCATAAGGAAAGCAGCACATGGGGCATTCTATAAGGCAGTTGACCTGAATGCTTCAAAACTAAAATGTCTTAAAAAAAAAAAAAGTAAAAGGATGAAAGGAGCACTTATGGATCAAACAAAACACAACAACAGAATGCAGTGTTGTAAACCTTGATTGGATTCTGAACCAAAAAATAAATAAAGCAGACATTTTTGGAGGGCAACTGTGGAAATTTAAATGTGAACTACATATTAAATGACATGGAATGAATGTTAATTCACTCCGGTATGATAATGATTTTATGGTTATGTAGGAGAATGTCTTTATTTTTAGGAGATAGCTGGTGAAATAGTTAGGGCTATTACAAGTTAATCACTAAAGGGATGTTCCCTATAAGCTTAAATTATACATCACGGCCCATCTCTGGGAAACCTGCCTCCCAGGTAATGAACGTTAAGCTAAAATACCTTTGTTTAGCTCACAGGAAACATCCTGACTAGGCCCACCTGTGAATGACTGCAGGCAGGAAGAAGTTAACACACCCCTTCCGGAGGCTGACCAGAACCAGGAAATGTTTGACTTTACTCCCTCCCCTTTTAGTGTAAAAGAAGCCTGAATTCTAACTCAGGCAAGATGGTTCTTTGGGATACGAGTCTACCATCTTCTCGGTCTGCTGGCTTTCTGAATAAAGTCGCCATTCCTTGCCCCAGCAACTCTCTTGATTTATTGGCCTGTCATGCAGTGATCAGTATGAGCTTGGACTTGGTAACAAATTTTGGTGCAGTCAGCCAGGAGCCTTGCTGCTCGTGGCTAGCCAGCCCTGGTTGGGGAATTTTCAGTTAAGGCCCTAGCAGCTGCAGGGATCACTTGCCCTGAAGATCCTCCTTTCAGATTTCCCCAAAGTGGCACTGGTTGCCGCAACGCTTGGCAGCTGGAGCAAGGAATCAACACTTGGGAGCCGATGGGCTCCAGACAGCAGGTAAGTCACTCTGGTGAGTACAGTTGGCACTTTCTTTCCTCCCTGGGACTTTTTCTCTGGAATAAGCCAATTTATTTTGTATTTGAGTGGGGTACCCTGTTGATGAGAAAGAAGAGTTGTTGGACTTTTACCCAATTTGTGAACTGGTTCATTTGTTTCTTTGGATGCTAGCATTTGTGTGTATAGTTTGTGTTTTGCTTGTCTTGAAGTAGCTCTGAACCCATGGGTGAGAGGAAGATGATATTTTTTTGTAAAAATGTGTATCCATAGTACCTGTCAGGAGTTTAGGCAGGGTTATCTTGGGGCCCTGTGCACCATGTACTGCTACTCTTGCTGTGTTAATTACACAATTTATGGTCTCCTGTGTCATTGGTGTATGTAAAACCCCAAGACCAAACTTGAGGGTTTATTTAGGATTTTCTGTTTGTCCTTTGGATTTTTCATTTTATTTTGTTTGGTACTGTTTGTCCATTTACAGCCAAATCAATTCTGTGATATTTAAAACTTTTTTTTTAAACATCTTTATTGGAGTATAATTACTTTACAATGGTGTGTTAGTTTCTGCTTTATAACAAAGTGAATCAGTTATACATATACATATGTTCCCATATCTCTTCCCTCTTGCGTCTCCCTCCCTCCCACCCTCCCTATCCCACCCCTCTAGGTGGTCACAAACCACCGAGCTGATCTCCCTGTGCTATGCGGCTGCTTCCCACTAGCTATCTATTTTACGTTTGGTAGTGTATATATGTCCATGCCACTCTCTCACTTTGTCACAGCTTACCCTTCCCCTTCCCCATATCCACAAGTCCATTCTCTAGTAGGTCTGTGTCTTTATTCCTGTCTTACCCCTAGGTACTTCATGACCTTTTTTTTTTTTTTCTTAGATTCCATATAT